TGGATTTTTGGAACAGATAATTTCTTTCAGCCATGTCTAGTACAGACAACTCACCTCATCTTTCTATACCAGATATATTTTTCCCCCAGAGTCTCTTAGTACATAGATGGGGTGGGTATACTTTGAACTGTTGGGATATGTAGGCATGTGGCAGGAAGGAGAGGGCATGTGTCTCAGTTCCATTCTTGTCTCTTGGTGACCTTATGTTTTTCTTTCCAAATAGTGTAAAAATTCAAGCCCCTATCCTAAATTTCTCTTGGAGTCAGTTTTACTTGATTTTTGTCAGCTGTATTGCTCAAAGTAGAAATTTTCACCACACTGTGTTAAATCTTATGTGTATTGATTATTTAATGGCTACTTTCCCGGTACTTTTATGGTTAATCTGGCATTTATGAATGATTATAGTGTTTATTCCTTCATTCTTTCTTTGAACAGATACTTATTAAATAGGTAATTTAAGTCCAGTACTATGCTATATATGTGTCTGAATGCAAGATGAAAAACAATGGGTTTTTGTTTGTTTTTAAATATGGATCTTTAACTAAAATCAAGGAAATCAAAGATCATTAAGGAAAGAAAACATAAACAGTGTGGAAATACAGGAGTAGACTTTGACAAAAGAGCCCTGGAAGCACAAAGGTGGGAGGCTAATAAACTCTTTGGGAGGTGCGGGCAGGGAACAGTCTATAGCTCCAGACTATATGTCTCATTTCAACCTCTTTTTTAAGTTCCTGTCTTAATAACTTAAACTTTTCATAGTGGCAAATAGCAAAGATAATTTTGCTTAGTCCTCTACCACTAGTGGTTTTAAGAGACAACTGCTTTATCATACTTTTGTCCAAAAAGCTTAATAACTATTATGGCAAAACCAAAATCTTTTCTTTGTTATTCCTCAGCATTTCTATGGCTAAATATTTTTTTGGTGGTGGTGATGGTCAAGTTTACCAGGGATTGAATACCCAGGAACACTTAACCACTGAGCCACATCCCCAGCACTTTTTTATATTTTATTTAGAGACAAGGTCTCACTGGGTTGCTTGGGGCCTCATTAATTTGCTGAGGCTGACTTTGAACTCCGTCCTCCTGCCTCAGCCTCCTGAGCCACTGGGATTACAGGTGTGCACCCCCACACCCAACCAGCTATAATTATTGAAAATAAAGTACTGGGGAATTTGGGACTAATGCCTAATTTTTTTAGATTAAAAAAAAAATGGAGAAGGCCACAAAATCTTATGGCAGCATGTGCTAAAATGGGCTTGTCTTAGTGCTACCATACACAGGCCATTTATTTATGTCTTTGAATCTCCCATGAATATCCTTTAAAGTGTACCTTTAATTTTTTAAAAAAAATAATATCAAAGGAAAGGAAACTTTGTAGTAACTTTTAAATATTTGTGTTGTAATTATGTTTTACCCTATGTTCTTTTTTCCTCTTGAAACTTTATAAAAATATTATCCTGAGAAGATTTAGTTTCTGTTATTTAACCTGTCACTGCTGTTCTCCTGTTTCTTATAATCGTCCATTTGAATTGTTATTTTTAAATTTGGTTTATTTTTATTTATTTTTTGAGGCAGGTTTGCTATTTTTGTCAAAGTTGGACTTGAACTCCAGGGCTCAAGTGATACTCCTTCCTCAGCATCCCAAATATCTTGGTTACAGGCACACCACCACTCCTTGCAAATTTGTTTTTATTGATGGTGGTGGCAGTGTTGGGGAATCCAGCCCAGGGCCTTGTGCCTGCTAGTCAAGTGCTCTCCATTGAGCTATGTCTAAAAATACTCAGTTGTATTTTTTAAAAGTAGTTACATACAAAGGCATTGAAGTTGCGTCTGATTTTCACTTTTGTAAATAATGCTTGATTGAGTAGTTCTGTATAGAGTTTTGTTTTTTGTTTTTATCTCTTTTTTACAGTTTTGATAGGATGAGTTTCCAGGACTGAGATTTTAGACCAGACCTGTGCATACTGTTCCATACTGTCCAAAAGTTTCCAGTTAATTGCATTCACTACCAGTTTACTTATAGTTGTTGCTTAACTTTTCTAGAGTATATCTTGAAAAATCTGAAATCTTTAGCATAATTGTGATGATGATTATGTAAATTATTTTAGAAAAGACTATGCAGCTGGTACTGTGAAATAAGATTAAATTGACTAGTAAGAAATTTTTGCTTTGGCTTACCCCTTGTTCATTTATAAAAAGGCCTTGGTTTTTTGAGGAGGCAATGAGAGCAAGCAGTTAGGGGCCGAATGATTGTGCCTGCAATTTGACAATCTAGTTCTGTGAATTTGAGAAGGAAGAATGTATGCTTCAAGATTTCCTGATCAGGGATGTTGCTTAGAAAGAACCAATATCCCTGCTTTGGTAACTATCTTAAAAGTTGAAAAGAGAGTGAGTAGAAACTAATGAATTTTAAAATAGATGCTGTGATGTTGATAGTCATTATGAATGATTGTGCCATATATAATACTATGAAAAATAAGTTTAAAAAACTAAGGTTAAAAAATAAAAGTATGTATTAATTTGATAAATTTGTCTGAGACACGTACTAAAAGAATAAACCCATGTCACCCTTGGAGCTTGCAGTGTTTAAATATGAACCCTTTGTACTTCACCATTATTAAATAAAATTGACATGTAGTATATTTGTCAATAATTATGAGTAATTTCTTTAAGATATACTATGTTCTGTTTTTTTTTTTTAACATGTAATGAACTTTTACGTGACCTCCAGTATCATGGAATATTTAACAGTTTAATTAAAAACAGATGGAGAAAAGTTGATTATGATTGGAGCTTGCAAATATATTGTTATTATTCCCAGTCTGCATTGCCTTTTTTCAGTATATAATAATAATAATTAAATTTACATATTTAATAGGTAAAGATACAATTCCTTTAACCATGAAATTAAGAATCTTTTAGCACTAGGGGGCACTCTTGATTTATGAATTCATGTCATACTTAGTCTATGCATAGAATATGGAATGAGATGAAATTATTTGAAAACATTTCATTGCAAACTGAATGTTACTGTCAAGAAAATTGGAATTATCAAGCCAGTTTTGTGTAACAGGGTGAACATAAATTTATCATTAACAGTGTTGTCATAGGTTAATGATGCTTATAGAATATTATAGATAATATCCATTGGATGAAATTATAGTATTTCTGTGCTTTATTCATTTCCTATTGATTTTCTAAATGTCTTTGAAATGGTTTTAAAACCACCATTATTTCAAACATTTTTTTTTTTTAATTCTAGCACAGTGTTTTCCTCTTGGGTACTTAGGCAATCTGAAGAAATGAAGATAAATTTAGGATGTGACTGAGGAGTGTTATTATTAGTAGTAATTTTTAAGTATTTGAAAACCAGGGGTAGGTGTTGCTTCATTTAGGAAATAGATTTGGCATTTTTATTCATTGGCATTTACAATTAGGATTTTAGCAACTTGTCACCAGTGTGTGCTTGCTAGAGGCATATTTCTAAGGTTTTGTCTTTTTTATTTAGAAGACTCCATTGAATTTAAACTTTATGTAGAGTAAGTATATGGTAACAAAAAGTCTGCATCATGGTAATAGAATTCTTGTTATGTACCAGCACTTGTTTTAGGTGCTTTTGCATATATTAGCTTGTTTATCCCCAGGACAACTCTGTCAGGGAGGTATCTATTGTTATTCCTGTTTTATAGATGAGGAAATAGCAAGGAAAGTTCAAGTTTCCTGGGTTTATATAGTCAATCTTGTTCTAGGCTCTGTGCTTTTCAGTTGCTATCCTACATTGCTTTTTCAGAGAAAGTAAGTTTAGTATTGAAGGAATTGCTATTGACATTATAAACTTAGTCTTTAAAGTAGAATACCTAAATTATAGACACTTACCATTCTATTATGAAAAACATTGTGGAAATTTTAAAAGGGTCCTTCAAGTCCATTCAACTTACAGAGAGGAGAAAATTTTGTCAGAGAGGTTAAGTTAGCTACTCAGTGCTGTACGGAAAGTTATTTGTGTAAAGATAGTAGTACCTCAAGAAAATATTCTGACTTCCAGTAAAATAGAAAAAATACAGTATTATGGAAAAAATATTTAATATTGATGGTTTGTTTCTTGTTCTTGGCTCATCATTTACCCTTTTTCCAAGAGGTTTTATTTCTTGTATTACATGGGAATAATAATAGCATTATTGTTATGTTGTATTATACAGGTATAATATCTTCACTAACTGATGTTCTTGGAAGCTGTGAAATGAGATAATAGATTGAGGGTATTCATAAACCTTAAAGCCCTATAAAATAAACATGTCATATTTTGTGGTATTTTTATGACACATTTTATATTTTATTTTTCTGTGTTTATGGTACCTTGGTCCCCAACTATCTAGATCACCAGGAATGAAAAGCTTAGCCGGGCATGGTGGTGCATGCTTATAATCCCAGTGGCTAAAAGCTAAGGCAAGAGGATCATGAGTTCAAAACCAGCCCCAGCAAAAGTGAGGTGCTAAGCAACTCAGTGAGACCCTGTCTCCAAATGAAATAAAAATAAGGGCTGGGGATGTGGCTCAGTGGTTGAGACCCTGAGTTTAATCCCCAGTACCACAAAAAGAAAAGAAAAGCTTATTCAATATTTTTTATTTAGAGGTGCCATTGGATTTTGAAATTTTTATTGTATAGGGCATCCATTACTTTGCCACATGATTTTTATACTTAAAACTAAAAAAAAAAATTATTTTATTCTCACATATTCCACTTAATCAGTGAAAAGTGATGCTTCACTTAGGAAGAAAACAGTAACAACTATTGAATACTGCCCATCTGGTGTTTCTGATTATTTGAAAATAGCTTATAGGATTGTTCTCATGTTCTCAATCTGGATTTAGTGGCTTAGCTAAAATAAAAGTTCAGCAAATGGAGTTCAGCAAAGATGAACTATTTTGTTCCTTAGCATAGTGGTAGGCATGGATTGGTGTTTTTGAACTTCAGGGAAGATTTTTAACTTTTCTATCTATCTATATATTTTTTTTCTGCAGACATAATGTATTTGTGGCCTTGGACATGAAGTAATCAGTCCTCTGTTGCTGTAAACATAGGGTGGGGACTGATGAGGGAAGCATGGACCTGATGAACGGACAGGCAAGCAATGTTAATATCGCAGCTACTGCTTCTGAGGTAAGACATTTTACAAAACCTCACTATAAATTTTCTCACCTGCCTTTTCTGACTTTTCATTCACTGTGGTTGGTTGCATTTTTAAATTAGAATGTGAGATAAAGAGCTATGTGTTTTTAAGAACTTGCAGTTTTGTCATTCATGTATTCACTGTTCATCCTAGAAATAGTTCTCATCTATTTAAAATACTTGAAAGATAATAATAAGAAATGATTACTTGAAACTTTCTTTTTAGGTTTAATTTTAAAGGAAACACATAATTTCCTTTTAGAGTATTCCTACTTTATGTGAACCTTGGACAATAGTGAAAGTGAGGCAAAGAAAGATTATTTATTTGGAATCACTGAATTTTTGGACATCATACTGATTTCAAGCCTGTTGAAGGAGATCAAAGAACTCTAGGACTGGACTATTAGGCTTAGTCTGATAAGGTAGATGGAGATGAACACTGAACCAGGTGTTCACCTCTCTAATTAGTATATTGTGATTTTATTTCTGCTTCATCTTTTTCTTTTTTTGCCTGTCTACAAATCTAGAATACTTACCTTAGTAGTTTTAGCATTTGTCTTCTATGTTTCTCCTTCGTTTTTCTCCTATATTGGAGAAGACTAACATTTATGACTCTTAACACTTTGTTCTCAAAGTATTTTAATAACAATTTTAAATCCACCACCTTTAGGCTATTAGTAGTACCACAGTTCCATAGCCACCTACACTTAAATCTTTTAAGTTCTTTTATCTACGCCCTTTTTCTTGGCCTGCCACAACCATTTTCTTATCCCAGCGGAATCCACTAGCAAAACAGAAATTATGACCTTAAGTGATGTAATCATGGGAGTGACATCATATCACGTTTGCCATTTTTTTTTATTGGTTGTTCAAAACATTACAAAGCTCTTGACATATCATATTTCATACATTAGATTCAAGTGGCTTATGAACTCCCATTTTTACCCCAAATACAGATTGCAGAATCACATCAGTTACACATCCACATTTTTACATAAACCTTTACCATTTCCTACTAATTAGAAACAAGTCATGGTCCTGCCCACACTGAAGGGGAGAGAATTACAAAAAGGTGGGAATCCCAAGAGGTACAGATCCTTGGCAACTGTCTTGGAGCAGCCTATTCACCAGACTTTGGCTTCATCTCCTTATTTCTACTATTACCATCCTAGTTTGGTTATTTATGATTTCTTGTCTAGATTATTGCAGCAACTTTTCAGTTTAGTTTTGCATTACTATTCTCTATTGTTTCTGTTCCATTTGTTTGAAATTTACCATTAACATTGTTAAAATAAAGTTTTTAAACTTTTGTCTTATCCCCAAACTATTGGTAGTTTCTCATTGCCTACTAATAATATTAGAATGCCCCCACAGCCATTCATTATTCAATATTTTCTGCAGAATGGCTCCCAATTTTATTTCTAATGGATTTAATTCCTATTTGAAACTTCTGTTGAAAATACTACATTTTAAAAAATGTTTATATAAATCATTAGCTTTGCCTACTTCTGTTCTAAATTTTCCGTCCAGAATTTTTCTTCCCTTTCCAATGTGTCCCTTTCCTTACTGCACAAAAAGATATTGTCTTTTGAAATGTATTTCAAACATTGTAACTTTTAATAAAAGCTTTTCTAATTCCCTAAAAGGTGGGAGTTTTCTTGTTTTTGAAACTATCACTTTAAAAAATCTTTAGGCTTTTTGTTTTGTGTAAATGTATGCATAACTTTTCTTCCTCCTTGAGCCAGGAATTATATTGTTTATGTATATTTACTTAGCATATTAGGAATATATTCATTTTTCTTCTATTTATCTATTTTTTGAAAAAAAATTTATTTATTGATGGACCTTTATTTTATTTATCTATTTGTAAGCAGTGCTGTGAATCAAACCCAGTGCTTCACACATATTAGGCAAGTGCTCTACCACTAAGCTACAACCCCAGCCCTATTTATCTATTTTTGATCAGTGCTTTGTAGATACACTTAAAAATGGATTTCACTGTGGTGTATTTATACATGCACAGAATAATTCTGTCATTCATTCCACATTTCCTCCCCTTTCTGTCCTTCCTCTCTCCCTCTCAGTCTCCTTCTTCTTCACCATTGGTATTCCCTCTATCCTTATGGTTTCTGATCATTACTTTTCCTTTAATTCTAGATTTGACATATGAGAGGAAACATTTAATGCTTGATTTTCTGAATCTGGTTTGTTTCAGTTAGCATGATGTTCTCCATTTCTCTTCACTTACCAGCAAATGCCATAATTTCATTCTTTTTTATAGCTAGGATAATTCGTATGTGTGTGTGTGTGTGTGTGTGTGTATATGTGTGTATGTGTAAAATGTATTTTCTTAATTCTTTCATCTGTTCATAGGCACCTGAGAGATTCCATACTTGGCTTTTGTGAGTTGTTTTCCTTAAATATTGATATGGGTGTATCATTGAACTTTTTAGAGTCCTTCTGAATAGGTATCAAGGATTGGGATAGCTAGGTCATATGGGGGTTCCATTTGTAGTTTTTTGAGGAATCTCCATACTGTTTTTCAGAGTGGTTGTATTAATTGGCATTCACATCAATTTTTGAGTGTGCCTTTTCCCTAACACCCTTGCAACATTTATTTGTACTCTTGATAATTGCCATTTTGCCTGGGAAGAGAGGAAATCTCAATGTAGTTTTAATTTACATTCCCCTGATTGCTATAGAGTGGTAACATTTTTTTCTATATTTCTTGGTCATTTGTGTTTCTTCTTTTGAGAAATGTCTCTTTAGTTCTTTTGCCCATTGTTGTCTTCTTCTTTTTTGGTGGGGGAGGGTTAAGCTTTTTTGAGTTCTTTTTATGTTCTAAATATTAATCCACTGTCAAAGGATTAGCTGGCCAAGATTTTACCCCATTCTGTAGTCTCTTCATACGAGGGGAGCTTTACCACTGAGATATACCCTCAACCCCTTTTATTTATTTTTTTGCCACAGTCTGGCTGGGCACAAATCATAAGCCACTCAAGCAGGAACAAACTTTATTTCCGAACTCCCGCCAATGCCACCCACGCGGCCACACCACACACCAACCGGAATTCCCTCCTCTAGCACTTCCCCAACCAACAGGATCTCTCCAGGAATCCCCGGAGAACTCCAAAGTAGGGCTGAGGTAGACCACAGGGGTCTAATATACAATTGAATACACAGCTTAACATAACCATGGTCATCTCAATGGCTCGCTGGCCGGACTGGGCTGTGGCTCTCAGCATTTTTTATTTTTAGACTAAGTCTCACTAGGTTGCTTAGGGCCTCATTAGATTGCTGAGGCTGGTCTCAAACTTTCCTTTGCTATGCAGAAACTTTTTAATTTGATGCTGTCTGACTTAATGATTCTTAATTTTATTTCTTGAACTTTTTAGGGGTCTCAGTAAGGAAGCTGGTGCCTGTGCCAATATGTTGGAGTGTTCAATTTATGTTTTCTTCTAGCAATTGTAGAGATCTGATCTAATTCCTAAGTTTTTGATCTACTTTGATTTGACTTTTGTGCCAAGTGAAAGATAGGGATCTAGTTTTGTTCCTTTACATATGAATATCCACTTTTCCTAGCACCATTTGTTAAAAAGGCTATCTTTTCTCCAACATGTATTTTTGGTACCTTTGTCAAGTATTAGATGACTGTTAACTATTTGGTTTGTCTCTGTCTTCTACTCTGTTCCTCTGGTTTTATGTCTATTTTGATGCTAACACCATGCTGGGGTTTTTTTTTTTTTTTTTTTTGCTATAGCTCTAGTATAATTCAGCATCTTTTTCTTGCTCAAGATTGCTTTGGCTATTCTGGGTCTTTTTATTCTGCCAAATGAATTTTAAGACTTGTTTTTCTAGTTATATGAAGAATGTCATTGGTATTTTGATGAGGATTACATTGAATCTATATAATGCTTTTGATAGTATGGCCATTTGGACAATATTAAATCTGCCAATCCAAGAATATGGGAAGTCTTTTCCATCTTCTAAAGCTATGGTTTTCATCTCCTTAGTGAGATTAATTGCCAAGGTTTTTGTTTATTTTGATTTTATTGTGAGTTGGATAATTTTTCTGATTGCTTTTTCAGCAGAAAAAAAGGATATAGAAAAGCTATTAATTATACATGTTGATTTTGTATCCTACTACTTTGCTGAATTTATTACCTCTAGGCATCTTCTGGTAGAGTTTTTTTTCAGGGGGGGGCGCGGGGGGCGGGCAGTTCTAGATATAGGATCAGATCATCAGCAAAAGATAATTTGACTTCTTCTTTTCCTAAGTGTAAACCTTTAATTTCCCTCTCTTGCTTCAACAACTATGTTGAATAGGAGTGGTGAGAGTGGACATCTTGTCTTGTGCCTGATTTTAAAGCAAATGTTTTCAGTTCTTCTCCGTTCATTATGATGTTGGTTTTATATGTAACCTTTATAATGTTGAGGTAAGTTCCTTCTATTTCTATTTTCTCCAGCATTTTTAACATGAATGGGTGCTGGATTTTCTCAAAGAAAAAATCTCAATGGATTTAAAAGAATATTGTTCAATTTTCTTGAACAATATTCTTTTAAATCCATTGAGATTATCATATGATTTTTGTCCTTAATTCTGTTCATGTAATGAAGTACATTTTTATTGATTTGCTTACGTTTAATGAACCTCATATCCTTGGGATGAATCTAGCTTGATCATGTATACATTCTTCTTAATGTGTTTTTGAATGTGCTTTGGTAATATTTTATTAAGGGTTTTTGCATATGTGTTCATCAGAGATATTGGTCTATGGTTTTCTTTCCTTGATGTTTTTGTACCAGTGATTCTTAGCTGAGAATCCATCTTGTCTTGAACTTTTCTTTGTTGGAAGGCTTTTAATTGCTTTGTTTCATTGCTTGATATTGGTCTGTTTCGGTTTTCTGTATCTTCCTGGTTCAATTTGGTAGGTTATATGTGTCTAGAAATTTGTCAGTGTCTTCTAGATTTTTCAGTTTGTTGGAGTATAAATTTTCAAGTGATTTCAGAAGTATCTGTGGTGAGGGGCTGGGGATGTGGCTCAAGCCGTAGCGCACTCGCCTGGCATGTGTGCGGCCCAGGTTCGATTCTCAGCACCACATACAAACAAAGATGTTGTGTCCGCCGAAAACTAAAAAATAAATATTAAAAAAATTATCTCTCACTTTTTTTTCTTTTAAAAAAAGAAGTATCTGTGGTGATATCTCCTTTTTATCATCTCTAATTTCATTGATTTAAGTCTTCTCTTTTGTGGAGTTAATTTTGCTAAGAGTTTATCAAAGAATCATATTTTGGGGGTGGTGGTACTGGGGATTGAACCTAGGGGAGCTTTACCACTGAGATATACCCCCAACCCCTTTCATTTTTTATTTTGAAACAAAAGTCTCACTAAGTTGCTTAGGGCCTCATTAGATTGCTGAGGCTGGTCTCAAACTTTCAATCCTCCTGCCTTAGCCTCCTAAGTCACTGTGATTACAGGCATGTGCTACCATGCCCAGCAAGAATCAGTTCTTTGTTACATTGATCCTTTGTATTTATTTTTTTAAAGTAGATTTATTGTGACCCACAATTTCAGAACTTTTATCCATGGTTGGCCTGGTCACTTTTTAAAATTTATTATTGAATTGCTGATATACCTTTATTTTATTTACTTACTTACTTGTTTATTTACTTATTTACTTATTTATTTATGGTGCTGAGAATTGAACCCAGTGCCTCACACATGCCAGGCAAGTGTGCTACCACTGAGCCCCAGCCCCCTTTGTATTGTTTTTTAAATTTTACATTCATTAATTTTGACTCTGATCTTGTTTCTTATCTTCTTGTTTTGGCACTAGATCATTCTTCCTTTTCTAAGGCCTTGAGGGTATAGTATTAGATTAATTTGGGATCTTTCTATTTTTTTTTTTTAATGTAGGTACTTGATCCTATAAACTTTCCTCATAGAACTGCATTCATACTGTTCCAGAGACCTTGATATGTTGTATCCCTGTTCTTATTTGTTTCTAAGAATTTCCTGATTTCTCCTCATTTCTCCTGTGAGTTATTAGTCATTTATAAGAATATTGTTCAACCCATGTGTTGATGTGGTTTCAATAGTTTTTCCTTGCTATTGATTTCGAGTTTTCATTCCATTATGATCTGATAAGACACACAGGATTATATAAGGAGATTTAGATTGTGACCTAGAATATGATCTGTTTGTTTTGTTTTTTGGTATCAGGGATTGAATGGGGCACTTAACCACTGAGCCACATCACCATCCCTTTTTTTTATTATTTTTTTTATGTTGAGACCTTGTCTCAACATAAGTTGCTTAGGGCCTTGTTAAGTTGCTGAAGCTGGGTTTGAACTCATGATTCTCCTGCCTCAGCCTACCAAGCCCTAGGATTATAGACGTGAGCCACAATGCCAGCAGAATATTGAACAAAATATTATTTTTTTAAAAAACTTTTTTTTTTTTTTTTAGGTGTAGGTGGACACAATACCTTTATTTTGTTTACTTATTTTTTGTGTGTGGTGCTGAGGATCAAACCCAGTGCCTCATACATGTTGGCTAGTGCTCTACCACTGAGCCACAACCCCAGTCCCACAAAATATTCTTTAAATGACTGTTTCGTCCATTTGATTTATCATATTATTTAGGATGGAAATATTTTTATTGATTTTATGTTTGGATGACCTGTTTTGGTGGAAGGGATGTTTTAAAATCACCCAGTATTATTGTTTTGGGGTTTATCTGGGATTTAATGCCAAGAAATATTTTTTTTATATAATAAGGTGCATTGATATTTGGGCCATAAATATTTACTATCATGTAAGTATATTCTGTGAAGTAATTACAGTGACATAATTGCTTAACAACATATTTCTCAGCATGTACCTCATACCTGACTGTGGATGTATGTTGTTCTTCCCAACTTTCCTTTATACCATTTGAGAATCATTGTAGTATTTTAAGGCTTTTATTTCTGTAGAAAATGATGGGATGCCTGGATGAAGAAAAACACACACACACACACACACACACACACACACACACTCTCTCTCTCTCTCTCTCTCTCTCTCTCT